TTATAAAGAATATTATTGTGATTTGTTATTCTTATTTTAACTCTTAATAATTATAAAATAATGGACCAAAAATTGATAGTAAAGAAAATTAATAAAATTAATTCAAATGAATGCGTGTATTATAAAACTAATGTCAGTGGGTAATACACATGCTTTTCGTTAAATTGTAAATAAAATAATAATAATAATAATAATAATAATAATAATTGGCGACGAATGGTTATAAGTAAACTTTGGCCCTACGCAAATCAATCTTTATTAGAGGGGTTTGAATTTTTATATATTTATTTAATGTATAATTTGTTAATTTCATAAGCTTTTTTTAATGATATATCGTATTGAATGCTTTAGGTTTCCTAACACAATAAACTTCGTCTCGAGTGTTCCTCTTAATATAATGTAGGTTAATTTCATATAGCTGTTTGGTAATATAAACTGGATGTGTGACAATTAGTTACTGTATTTAAACATAACATGTGATCAAATAATTCTTAATACTATTTTTTAATACAACAAATAAATTAATAGGCTTTCAAATTATTTTAAGAATACAATACAAAAAACAAAACAAAAACAATTTCGTATATCTAAAATGCAATACTGTATGCTGAATTGCTGAATTTGTAAAATATATATCATGTGACCAATATTCATTTTTTTTTCTATTAGGCCTACAAGTTAATTGCTGCGAAGCAGCCAATTCATATTCTTGACAGCAATTTGACCTCTGAAAGGTCATTGTTTGTCAAAAAACCGAGTGCCTAAGACGACTGAAAAGCGGAGTTTCCTTCTTTCGTTCTGCCGGGTAAAATCAATTACTTTAGGCGACGTTTGTAGACTAACCTCGTACCAACGTCCGCATGTCGCGCTAGCCTTATCCTACTCTAGGCCTAGACTAGCTAGGATGGTATAGGCCTAGCCTTGAAAGGACGAAGGTCCCAATGAAAAACAACGTCGCTCTTTGATAGCTAACATTGTCTATTTAACATCACAATAATTCATTATTAGACCTATAGTTGTTTTTTGAATTGTAGGCCTACTCCACAGATCTCAGCCGATACCTCTGGCTAACGTCTCTATCTATTGTCGTGACGTCATGGCTCGCTGGCTCACACTTGTGATGTCTCGCACTTGTGATCAAATAACACGCTGGCTCGCACTTTGGCAACACTCTTTGGCAGTCAACTCGCCCCTAGAAAACCCGCCCTTGGAAACTTGCCCCATCAAAAAATGTACACTTCCTAGACCATGCAGTGTTCAAAATAAAAATTGTAATCTTTGGTAATCAACTACATTTTCCACATACATAGAAATTTTTGAAACTTTATTAAAAAAAACCTAAACCATAATTCACCACACTATAGACACTTTTTGACAAAAATGAAAAATTACGACTTTGTTACCCACTGAGAAGTGTTCTAATATAGACAATGGGTCGTGTCTCATATTATTTGTTATAGTTTTATTATTCATTATTTTCACTTGACTCGCATAAATAATTTTGTTCGAAGAACATTTATATGCAGTTGTACTTCGCAGCACTTCACTTGCAATTTCTAGTTCGTTAGTTGATAACAGTTGATAATAATAATAATAGTTGATAATAGTTGATAAACTTGCCGCGAATATTCTCCTGATAACCCAAAAAACGAGTCTAGCGCCCCCTGTAGTTCCATAATATGTATTGGAACTTCCACTTTTAATAATAATAATAATGATTTATAATGCGCACATTTCCACTGATTTTTTTAATTCAAAAATTCAATTAATGGGCTTACATAAATTAATAAAAAATGGGTGGTCAAAAATATAATTCTTCCTGAGAAATGAAAATGATGACTGGTGATGAAAGGGATGATTGTATACTGGCCGACATAGCGCTGACTCTTCCTAACTTTGATTTTGTTCAATCCCCCAGGATATTTTCTAAAGGTGGCGGTGTCTGTGTGTTTGCCAAGAAAGGGCTCAAACTTACCAGCAATAAAACCTCTAATTACTCCAGTTTTGAGTATATGGATGTGAACATCTCTCGTGGCTCCTCATCTATCCGCCTGTTTAACATATACCGCCCTCCACCATCGAAAAAGAACAAGTTGACCAGATCCATGTTTCTGGAAGATTTTTCTAGATTTTTGGAATCAGTTGCGGCAATTCCTGGAGAAATCATTATTCTCGGGGACTTCAACATCCACGTCGACGAGGCCAATGATCGGTTTGCCACCTCTTTTGCTGATCTCTTGGACGCCGTTGGTCTACGGCAACATGTTGCTGAAAGGACTCATAAATCTGGTCACATTCTTGATCTTTTAATCAGTCGTCAATCCTCCAGTGTTATCACGGGTGATGTCAAAGTTCATCCAGGAACGCCTTCTGATCATTACGCAGTGAAATGTTATCTCAATTGCATTCCTCCAAAGGCACCTAGAAAGACTCTAAAATATCGTAAGATCAGGCAGATTGTCGTTGATGATTTTAAATGTGACATTGAATCCTCGGAACTTTACACTAATCCTGCGTGTGATCTTGATGGGCTTGTGAACCAGTACAACACCATCCTCCATGACCTTCTGAATAAACACGCGCCGCTTGTTGAAAAGACTGTTACTGTGAGACCAAATGCTCCTTGGTACAATGATGAACTTAGAGCAGTCAAGCAAGACAAAAGACGTGCTGAAAGGCAGTATGCGAAGTCCAAGCTGGAAGTTCACAAACAAATCTACGCTGATAAGTGTAAGCTATACAAAACCTTGCTTGAAACAGCAAAGGAAGACCACCACCGAACACAGATTGAGAATAGCAACAGTAAAGAACTTTTTCGTGTTGTCGGTAAATTATGCAATCCTTCGTCTGAACCTGTCTTACCAGATTGTGATACACAAGAACAGCTTGCAGAAGACTTTGCAGCATTTTTTGTTGACAAGATTAAAAACATTCGCAATGTTCTTGACTCCACCGATTCTCAGGCCGTCTCAGTTGATCTTCAAACTACCTGTAACAGCATCCTGAGCGATTTCAAAGAACTTTCGCCGGTTTCTGTCCGAGAAGCGATCATGCAGTCACCTAACAAAAGCTGTCCACTTGATCCCATTCCGATGGAACTGTTTAAGAGCTGCGTGGACAGTCTCCTTTTACCAGTTACTACTATCATTAATTGGTCTTTGTCTTCTGGCTACATTCCATCCAGCTTAAAATCTGCTAGGGTGACACCTCTTCTGAAGAAGGCAAACCTGGATAGGAATGACTATAAGAACTACCGCCCAGTTTCTCAGCTTCCTTTTATGGGGAAGTTGCTGGAGCGATGCTGCCTCGC